GTGAAGTTAGAGCTGTTGATTGGTCAACTGATGGTAAATTTATAGTTTGTGGTGATCTTAATGGATTTGTATATTTATTAGATCCAAATACATTACAAGTTATGGATACTGCTAAGACTATCTTTACTACTATGCCTAAGAGATAATCTACATATTGGATTGATGATTTAAAGATATCACCTGATTGTAAAAAAGTAGCATTTGGTGCTCATGGTGGTGCATCACATTTAGAAGTTTGGACTATTGAATATCCTAAATTTGGTAAATAAGGAACAAAAATTTAATGTGGTTTGACATCTGCCTTAACTGCATTAGATTGGTCAGTTGATTCATCTATTGTAATTGTTAATAGTGGAGCATATGAACTTAAATATGTTGATGTAAATGCTAAGAAAAATCAACCTTCATCAAGTTAAGCTAATACAGAGTTTGCTACATGGACTTGTAAATTAGGTTGGCCTGTTTAAGGTATTTTCCCATCTGCTGATTACAGTGATGTAAATACTGTATGTAGAAGCAATAGCAAAAAATACTTAGTATCAGGTGAAGATACTCAACATGTTGTTTTGATGAATTATCCTGTTGTTGTACCAAAATAAAAGAGAAAAGAATATATTGGACATTCTTCACATGTAATGAGAGTAAGATTTACATGTGATGATAATTTTTTGATTTCAGTTGGTGGAAATGATAAATCAGTTATTGTATGGAAAACAGATTTTGGAAGTGCTTAAGGAAAAGTTGAATAAGCTAATTTATAAGAATTATGTAAGGAAGAAGGAGCAGATGATATTGATATGCCTGTTAAAAAGAAGAAGGCATAACCACCTCCTAAAAAGTAAATATAACAAGATGAAAATTCAGTATTTTCACAAGAGGAAACTGATGAAGGAGATTAATTTATGGCATGTAAACCATGGATGGGAGCAATTAAAGAACCAACATATCAATATTATTAAAGTAAAACAGAAGGACATAAACCACCAAAATGTGATTTGGAAATTGAGTATGTACATGGATATCGTACAAAAGATATGAGAAATAATTTATTCTTTTTAGCAAATGGTCAAGTCTTATATAATGCAGCTGCATTAGGAATAGTTTTAGATGTTGGTAGTAATACTTAAACTTATTTCAATAAACATGAAGATGATATCACAGCAATAGATTTGAATCCTGTTGATAGAATGACAGTAGCTACTGGTGAATTAGGTGCTAAACCAAATATATTTGTTTGGAATGCTGAGACAAAAGAAGTTAAATGCTAATTCAAAGCTCCATTATAAAAAGGTATAATAGCTATGGCATTTACTCCAAATGGAAAAAGATTAGTTGCTGGAGCAGTTGATGTTGATCATTCATTAGCAGTTTTTGATGTAAGTGGAAAAGGAGCAGTATTATGGTCAGATAAGAGTGGACCAGATGTTATAGTTGATTTAAGATGGAATACAGATGATGCATTTGTAACAGTAGGTGTTAAACATTATAAATGTTGGAAATATGATAATGGGAAATGCTAAGGAAAGAAAGGATAATTTGGAAAGGGAGCAAGTAATAACTTATCTGGAATTGCTATTAATGGAAATGATACATTATGTGGAGCTGCAGATGGATGTATATAAGTATGGAAAGGAGAAGCATTTATGAAACCATTACCTAGTAAACATGCTCAAATTTGTGATTGTATTACAGTTACACAAGATTATGTTTTCTCAGGAGGAAGAGATGGAGTATTCTTTGTTTTAAGTAAAAATTATGAAGAAATATTGGCTGTGAAAGTAAAAGAAAAGTGTCCAGATTCTGTATGTCCTAGTGTAAGAGCCATCTATGCTGATTTACCTAATTCAAAATTATTGATAGGAACATTAGGTAGTGAAATTTATTAATTCTCTTGGGATGGTGGTGCTATTAATAGTTAAAC